GGCCCTTACTAATTTCTAATCCATGTAAACAATTTTGTATGTCAATACCTCCTAAAAGCATAAATAACTATCCCAAATACTATCCTGAAATTGCTGTAAAGCCTACAGTCAGCCTTTCTTTGTCTGTATAACCAGTAGCTTATGATGGCTAATGTCAGCTAGCGTTCGCAAAGTTTTGGTAAATATTGCTGTGTAGCGGACTCGACCGCCTTTGTACTCGGTCTTATCTCGGTCTCGGGATTTTATTTCAAGACCATAACTTTGGGAATATCAATAAATTGCTTTTGCATTGCCTGATTTGTTAAAATCCTAACTTTGATTGGAAGTAAAACTTATTGCTTTAAATGCAACCAATAACCCTAATTAAACATGTGTTGTTCCCGTTAACGACTGTCACCCCTCCCCGCTATGCTTACGTTGATTTCAGCTCTTAGTGTTTATATGTGGGTGTTTTAATGGGAAAGTGGATCCTTCTGATCACTTTGAGAAGTACCTATGATCTCGTTCCACATTTTATTGGGCGCATGCAATGCAGGGAACTGGTCTTGGTCTTGACTCGGTCTTGCCCTCCCTTGGTCTTGGTCTCGAGTGCTCTCAGCCCCTAAAAGTCCTGGTCTTGTCTCGGTCTCGATAAACTCTGGTCTTGGTCTTGACTCTGGTCTCAGTTTGGGCGGTCTTGAACACTAGGTTTTAGCATTTAGCATAATTCCGTAATGGTAATTGTGTGCACCGTGGCTGCTGTTCAGCAAAGGTAAGAAATACAACATACAATATTGTGTACGTTTTGCACATAGAACGTTTTCATTCAGTATAAGTTTCTAACCTGCTCACTCACTGCACAAAACTTTTCAGCAGTTTTTCCTCACATGTTCCATGTGTGTGTGTTCCTTCATTTGGACGGCATCACAAAGTGGACAGAGATAAAACCTCATCCCTGACATGAGCATGACCTTGGGCACATGGACATCCCCAACGCTGTCCTCTGATTGGTTGGCCGGCGGCACAGCCTACTCCGAAAACACAGACAGTTGCACGCAGCGCTTCTCTGCATCTGTGTGTGCAGCTGCGTGTGCAAACAATAATGTGTGTGTATGTGTGTGGGTGTGTATTGCTTGGTACTGAAGAGGCAATACAATGACGATTGAACCAGTTGTTTTAAGAGGCGTGTGTGTGCGTGTGTGTGATCAGTTCCCCAGTGAACCCATTGTTAGCCAACAGCTCTCTGATGTGATCTCGGCCCCTGATCAGTCCACATGAGTTTGGCCTGTTTAAATTTGCACCAGTATAATACTGGATGATGGTCATAGTCATGTTGTATGTCATGTGATCCCGCCTTGAAGCGACCATGGGTTTTAACAGCTTTGGCAAACCCTGGTGTCTGTTTTCTCTTCTTTCATTTGAATTATCTATCTATCTATCTATCTATCTGTCTTTCTATCTATTTATCTATCTGTCTGTCTATCTATCTGTCTATCTATCTACATTTTCCTTTGTACTTGTTCACACTGGTATATAGGAGGAGTCTGAGTGAACTCTGCCCGCCTCATTGGTTGACAGAGGTCCTCCCTCCTCCCTTTTAAAAGCCTGCTGACTTACCTGAGTTACATTTCAAGATCTGCAGCTTCTCACCCACTCACTTGTCTATCATTGGTCTTTAAAAAAAAGGGGGGGGGAGGAACAATCCCAGAACCTCTTTAAGGAACTTTTTAATAAGTGAGTATGACTGATTGGATTGAAAAAATGGCTAGGCTACCAACCTTCACATGCACATGACTTCACTCTTCTAGCTGTTTGAGGAACACACAGTTGCTTGTATTGTCAAGTAAGTCAAGTAGACCAGTTTCGGCAGTGTCTTTCTGGGAGGGATTTGTCTCTCAGGTGTTGGCTGATGCAAGAGTTTGCTTGTTAGGTGGAGGATGTCTGAAGAAGTTGTGTTGTTTTAAACTGATCTGCTGTAAGAAAAGATCTTATATTTCTTTTTAAAGCATGATTCATAGTTGTCTTATTTCGCAACTCCTCAAAGGTTTAGAGATTGGAGCAAATCTGTTTTTTGTCATTTCAGCTTTTCTGTCTCAGTGCACTTCATCTCTCTTTTACAGTGAATGCTCGATCTTACAACACAGAAACTAGGGTTTGGAATTCTGTGAATCCATTTAAGCTATAAAAAAAGAGAGACGATACATGCAAGTCTTTTTGTCTCCAATTCAAATTGAAGGTATGTGATCTTCTGACCCTATACTCTGAGCAAAGTTCAGTAGGTTGTCCTTGCAGTCCTTTAGCCTAATGTTTGTTGTGTAAATTAGCAGCTGTAAACCCAGGTGTGAAGGCATCCCAGGACACAATGGGATCTAAATGATGCCGACTTTCAGAAGGGATCTTGCATTCATTTGACTTTTACTTATAAATGAACATCCGTCAAGCCCTTGCCAGCGCCACGCTCTCTCTGCATGGCTCTGGAGCACTCATAGTGACGGAGTAGGCTACAGAAACTAGGAGTGTGGTGGAGAATTTGGCGGAAACACTTCAGAAGAGTCTGAGAAAAGTTTCTGATGCTCCAGATAAAAACAGAACTCATTCAGTTACGCGTTCGGAGGAGGGATAACATGGATAACCCTTGGTGCAGCCCGAGCCTGGTGCGAGCACACCTGTAGGCATACAGGATACACACGTGTTTGTGTAATAACACAAACACTGTTCCGCACTGCAGGTTTAGTGTGTGAAATACTCTTCGGGTTTTGGCTGTGAAGGTGTTGCCTTTAATCCAGTATGCAAATGGACTCAGCAGCCCTCTGTATGGCCATGTGTGCAATTGTGTTTGGGAGGATTAAATTAGATGTAAGCAAGAAAAACAAGTTCCAGCAACAAGTGGTCATTAAAGATGGACTTTACACATGTTATGTTAATTGTAGGTGTAAACCCGTTTCTGCAATGCAAGTCTGATACCATGTCAGAGCCGGGCCTGTGTGCCACATGGCACACTGCGGAACGTGTGCTTCTATGATGTTATGGTTGTAACTTGGCAGCATTAAACTCGGGAACATACAAAGTTAACCAAGTTGGACAGGTTAATCCTCTTGGCAACGAAAAGTGAAAATTGTTCTCTATTTCTCTCTCGCCACACAGCAGACAGCGACAGTGAGAGATTAGGGGTACTGGAGTGTGTAATGTGGTTGTTAACGGTAATGTAGCCACTTAATCTCCGTTGGCTCACAGAGAGCAGGTTTTAATGCAGCCTACATCCGAAGAGCAAGATCACAGGGAAAACAACAGCCTACCAATTGTTTAACAGAAGGTTATGTCTTGTAGATCAAACTGCATCAGCCAGGTTGGGTCAAGATGGAGAGCTTTAACGCCTCTGACATTGTTTACAGCTGATAACCTTGTTGGAACAATGAACACTTACTTTTGCTGCATAGTGGCACATTGACTGTATACACTCTTTTCATATTGTGATGCCCTGCTGCTAAACCACTTCCTTCAGCTGTTGCTTAACAAGCATCCTTTGGTATTTTCCACCAGTTGTTTTTTTCTGTTTTTAAGTTAATGCAGTTAACTTAAATAAATAACATTAAAAGATAACAAGAATAAAAAAGCTGCAAACTCACATACACCTTTCTGTGCTTTTTGTAGCTAGCTAGTGAACCTCATCAAGACCAGTCAGTGTAACTGTCAGTTATGTTTCATTTGCAGCTCAGTGGGAAAAGTGGTTTGTGCAGTGGTGGACAGTGTTGGGCAAGTTACTTCCCAAATGTAATACAATAGATTAACTTGTTACTGTCATTTGAGTGTAATTAGCTATATTACAATATTACTGTCTCTGAATTGTAATGCTTTACACTACTTTTGCGTTTCTTTTTAGTTCACTGCTATTTATTTATTCTAGTGATGTGCAGAGTTATATCCACGGATCAGGTGGGTCTTAAAAAATCATAAAATTGACCTTCTGATTAATAGCGGGGGGGTGAAATAGGATGAATTGTCTCCTATTAAGAAAGACGGTGTGCGTATTTACACCTAATTTCTGCTGTGTCCCTCGTTGTGTGTCACACCTCTTTTGTTCCATGGTCTACTCACTGTTTGTCAGTTTGTCAGTGACTAGACCATAGATCTTTCCTTCCAGCATATCAAAGAGATCTCTGTGAAAGAAACAAACAGCACTGTAAATAATTAGGCCGTTAACATAACTTAATGATGAATGCTTCAGATGGAAAATGTAAGTGTGTGCCCCCTCTGCAGTGCCTTTGCCACTAATGGTAGTGGGTGAGGTTGAGTAAATCACCTTGTACATGAACAAGGGGGCCTGTTGATGGTCAGGCAGCCTCATAAACCTGTTGCATCCTTGACCTGGTCGCAGGGTCTGTTGATCAACTCCAGCCAGCATTCACTGTGTACATCAATATCAGCTTAAGGGAGATCATTTTGTATTTTATTACATTTACATTTATTCGTTTAGCTGGGGAATTGAACCCAGGTCTATCACACCGCCAGGTGTGTCTTATCCATTGCGACATCGCCACCTCCTTATTATATATTGTAATGTACAATCAACAGTCAATCAACATGACAAATAAACAGAAAGATAGTTGTGAGTGTAATACCACAAATAAAGCTTTAGTAAAATGGAAACAGCAAAAAAAGCTTTAGCCCTGCTAGTGTTGGTAAAGCTGTATGAGGCACCAAGGTTGCATCATCTCACAGCTTTCCTCTTCAAGGTAACATAACAAACAGTCCTTTTCCAGGAAGTGGGATGGACTCGTTTGCAGACTAGAGGGACCCATTTTACTCTAAAGTGTTCTTCATCCAGGCCAAAAGGCTCCGTTGAGACCGATAACGCATCTGCAGGCCTGTAGGCAGTTAGAAACTGGCATTCCTGTGGAAAAACTTGAGCGTTAGTGAATCTTTAAGACTTGGGCAAATAGCTACTTTTGTTGATGATCTGAACAGACAGCTTCAAAACAGTGTTAGTCACTGAAACTTCCCTCTGTTTGTGTTGTTTTTAGGTCTTTTCTTATAGGTGACAAGGTCTAGCAGCGGTTGAGGAAGAAGCACATCACCGCCTTGTGAAATCTAAAACTGAAATCCTACCGAACTTCTCCACCTCTTGTCCTTGCACCACTATGCCGGGAGCTGTGGATCGTATGGAGCTTAGCAAAGTCTCCACAGAGGCTGATGATGACAGCAACGACAGCCTGGATGACCACTACACAGAGCCCATCGACTCTGAGAAGGCCACCATCGACAGGTCAGCAACCATGATGTCAAGTTTTTGGTTTCCTTCCTCCAAATGAGCAGGCACCACCAGTCTTGTGACACTGCAGCTTTGTCAGTGACTTTGCTTAACACTCACTTCTCCAAATTTACATTACATGACATTATAAGGCAAATTCCTTACGTTTCTTAATGTACTTCTCCAGTAACCTGGATAATTATGGACTTGCTGTCTTGACCAAAGCACAGCAGGTTCTCTGGCATCAACATCTTTTAATTTGTCAATGACAGGTTTGACAGGCTTTAAACAAATGAATTACTTAGATTAATCCACTTAAAGACTTCAGGGCATTAAATCAGTAATTAGCATTAGTTATTAGAGCACTATGACTTTAGAGTGCTGCTCAGATTGATCTAACAGTGTTGATTGTTTAGGAGGTGGTGACTGGTGTGTGGCAGTATAGTTTACATTTTGACCCACTCTAACTAAATTAAAGATCCTGACCACCCAGCTGAGATTAAATAAACCGCACTGTTTGCGTCATGTCACCTGACATATTCTGTTACATGTTTGCAAGACAGGTGATTGTGGGAGAACTGCCAGGATTTTAACAAAACACAAGTACATACTATATAGTGAACTAATTATTATGTACGCATGTGTTCATTTTTGTTTGTTTGTTTTTTTGGTCCTAGTAGTCAGTTCCTGGATGACAATGATGACGGAGAAAGCCATAAGTTCCTGTCAAATGGGATGATGAAGAAGAAGAAATATGAGGAATACCATGAAGAATATGTAAGAGGACTTACAACTGACAGTTTTTATGTATGTCTGTCAGTCAGAGTAAACAGTACACACTGATTTAATTGCTGCAATGAAATCATTTTTATAACATATTCAATTTAAAAGCAGGCATGTCATAACAAGTTGTTTAACAAGTTATGCAAGCAGACTTGCAAGAAAAATGTCAGAAAGTATCACGTGTCTCCTACCATACAATACAATACAATTGCTCATAAGATGTTTGCTGCTGGGATTACTGGTTCTTTGGAGCCGCTGAAAGAAACCTTGTCATTGTTTGTATCCACAGTTACAATACAGGAAACCATCCTGTATTATTATACAAATTAAGAAAAAGGTCCAGCAGAAAAAGTCCCAACTGTTAAGAATAAAAAAATAATTTGTCATATTGATGTTCAGTTTCCATTCCATTTAGTAATTTCACAGAATTTTAATATTTTATAGCAGTTGAGCTCTTTTTTTTGGTTTTGGTGTCTTTCTAGAACTGGCATTTAATACCAATGTTCAATAATAATTCAGGGAAAAATCCAGCGTAGAAGATATTTTTTTGGTGCCAACTGGAAGCTCTCTTGGTCAGCAGTATACTCAAAATGAATTTGGGATGTCCTTAGACTTTGCTCAGATATGATGCTGTAAGCAAGCATCACAGTAGTGTACTTTACTGCAATTACAAGTATGTGTATTTATAGGCAGCCCTGCCTCATGATGGAGCTTTTGAGTGACAGTAGCCATGAAGGTCTTAAAAAAACACCTCTCCATCCATTTAAGTGAGACCACTGTCTTTGGTCAGTGAAGCTTCCATGATTGGCACTCAGAAAAAGGGGCATTCTGGGAAATAGTTTGCTGCACATGGCAAAATGTTTGCTCTCTTTCTTGTCACAGAGACTACACTACTGATTCTAGTTTTAAATGTCCCCAAATACCTGAGAAAAAGCAGGGCTGTTTTTCAACATTGTTCATCATTTTTCCTCATAACACTTTGTTCCTTCTTTCATTTCTCTCTGAGCAGCATCCCGGCCACACCTCCTTCGGGATGTCTGTCTTCAACTTGAGCAACGCTATCATGGGCAGCGGCATCTTGGGCCTATCCTTCGCCATGGCAAACACTGGCATTGTGCTTTTTACGTAAGTACTGCTGGCAGCAGGTCAAGGGAACTGACAGCATTCATGTCAGGGTGTGTACGAGAACTGGCACGACGGGAGAGGCCGGTAGTTACTATGTAAATTCTACGACTACAGGGACCATCGTTTTGACACAGGGTAGATGTTCATAGAATTTTATATTTCTTAAAAACTTTCCATTTTTGTTTGTCAGCAGAAAATCATAGCTTTGTTGTATTTATTGTCAAGGTTTTTGACATGTCATACATTACGTCTCCTCAAAATCCTAGTAATAGTCCTTAAATAATCTACAGCGTCTAATTAATAATCTAAGGTGTAGTCAACTAACACCGGTTTCAGTTACAGTGTCATACTCAAATTAATGTCTTTTCAAGTTAGAATTAGATTAGAAAGAAATTTTAGCTGAGCGTAATGTCAAGATTGGCTTTACAAAAATGGCACAATACAAGGTGCTACAAATATTTCCTGCAGACAGATAATGAGGTTGGTTAACCTTACTGGGTGGAACCTGTATGTGTATATAAAGTGTTTGTACAGCAGCTCTTCGAGCTAAATGCTAACATTGGCATGCTAACATGCTGACATGACAATGCAATATACTGATGTTTAGCATTTGACATTCAATATTAGCACAAAGCACTGACAAAGGAATGTCATGAATCAATGTTTTGGAGAAATTAAAAAGTTGTGGCTTTGAGTAAACTTATCACAATTTGTCCTAAATGTGTGTACCTAATTTAATCACCTAGATTTCACCTGAAACCACCACTACTGGTGGCAATGAGGGAAAGTTAGTGGATCACCAAAGTCATTAGGAGACATGTCCATGTGTTGACTGGCAAGTGGGACAGAATTAGCTCCTGTAAAAATCTAAAATATAATTACATTACCACCCATCCACGCAGACATGTTTGAACTCCAGCACCCCGGGCCCTCAGCTCCTCTGCCATCTTTCACCTAGCTCTGTCTGTCCTGTGCACATGCATTATCAGCATTCATTGATGGCTTCCAATATCCAACACCCCGCTGTCACCCTACACCCTTCAATCCCAACCACGCAACCCCCCTCTGTTCACTCTCCATGCCCCTGCTGCAGGGCCACACCATGAGCTGGCAATGTTATAGTACAGAGATCAAGAGGTCTTACAAATGTAGAACGCATCCCTTCTCTGAAGCTCAGTGTCAATGGAGCAGAGGAATATTGCAATAGCTACTGCAAAATGAAAGTAGAAATGGAATAATAATGAACTCCTGCCAAGTTATATGGACGAAAGTGGGACTTTCCACAGAGAACATCTATCCATGATGATCATTTTCTTTCTTACAGTCTCTAGATTAAAGCTGATGTCATACAGAAGGTTTGTTGTTGCCACTGATAATAATTGTGTCATGTTGCAGAATCCTCCTCATCGCTGTGGCCATCCTCTCCCTGTATTCTGTTCATCTGCTCCTTGTGACAGCTAAAGAAGGAGGTTGGTATTTAAGTTAATTTCAGGTGCAGCAAACTCAACCGGCCTCTAATCGACCGATAAAGAGTTTTACTATACAGTAGTGGTCACAAGGTGATTCTAAGGGGTTGTGATCGCGAGCTGATCACACTTACAGACATGCAACCTATGACCAGGGGAAACCAGGAGATATTACTTAGTATTAGGCCATCACGGGAAAGAAATGGCATAGTTTGCACTGTGTAATGGCATAGTTCATTATGTAATGCCAATTGTTGACAGAGCTTTTACAAGAAAGTGCCACAGTCCTTACTCATAGATAAACTGTATTTCTGGTGTCTCATGGTCTGAAGAAAATGATGTCTACCTCTTCTTCAATAACTGAATTCAACTTCAATATTTCTTAGAATTACTTTCATTGACCACAAGGTGGGTGCATCAGTACAGAAATACAGTTTTGCTGATTTGTTTGAGCAGCAAAGGTGATGGAAAAATACTCCTGGTGCTTTTATCCAGTTACTCCCCTCGTCTCAGTTTGTGTTGTGATGCCTGAATGGTTTTCCATGACTAATTCACCACGTGTATTTCTTGGCAGGATCCCTGATCTACGAAAAGCTGGGAGAGAGAGCATTTGGTTGGCCTGGGAAAATGGCAGCATTCGGATCGATTACTATGCAGAATATAGGAGGTAGGCAGTGATGTGTGTGTGTGTGTGTGTGTGTGTGTGTGTGTGTGTGTGTGCGTATGCCAGCTTGTTTCCAGTGACTAAAACTACACATGCATGTAATGGAGTTTTAGATCTCTGCGAATCTTTAACATTCTCTTCCATGTCCTCGCTGTCCTGCAGCCATGTCCAGCTACCTTTTTATTGTGAAGTATGAGCTGCCTGAAGTGATCCGGGCCTTCTTGGGTTTAGAAGAAATCTCTGGGTGAGTGTGTGTGCCTTTGAAGATAAATACGTGTCTGTGTGCGTACAGTTCACAGTATAGGCTCTGACCTCATTTTAACCTCTCTGCTGTGTTTGCAGAGAGTGGTACCTGAACGGGAACTACCTGGTGGTGTTTGTGTCGATCGGAATCATCCTACCTTTGTCTCTCCTTAAAAATCTCGGTATGGACTCACTTTACACCAGTGCTAACTAAAATGCTATTTTGCCATTAAATTGTACATTGTTCAACTATTTAACCACATGCTCTGCAAGCTGTAATTCAGATACTTCTAATACTACTACTTATTTTTAAGAGGCAGGATCTGTGTCACTTCTGCAGCCTGAAGCCAATGTCTTTTCACTTCAAGATATATGTTTATTAATTGTAAATGCAGTATTAAGGCTGTACCGAATAGTTTGAGCTTAAAAACTTCACTCATGTAGTTTTAGCATTTTTTATCGATTCTGTTTAATCCCAGTATTTCTGCACGGGGCAGACTGGGGCAAAAAAAAGGTCCAGGAATTTGTCCCTGCATGCTCAGTCCACTCTCTGGGCAAAGCATTTGTTGGGGGCTCTGAGTCTTTAGAAGCCTTTATTTGTGTGTTCTTGAGAATTTTATGAAGAATTATTTATTTAGAATTTTATTTCTAAGGAATGCACTTTGCTTCTTTAATTTAGCTATTTCTATTAAAACATTTATTTTTATTTTTTTTAACTCTACATGAAGATTATCAATAAGCGCAGGCACCCAGTGCAATATGGGTATTTCTAAAGCATCTGTGAAAATAATCTCTATAAAGCAGAAGCAGCCCATTGTTGAATGAAGCAGGGTAAGCCTACATATAAAGGGAGACCTGTGTGTCACGCCAAACAGGACAGTTTTATCTACCACCCATATTTACTCTCTCCCATGCATCTCAAAAACAATTGTTTCCTGAATAAATAGCAGCTGGTAGCTTACTGAGTGAAAGCCAAGATCAGTTTCACCCGCAACATCACTATAAAACAAAGAGCAACAATGTGAATTAGGAAAAAGAAAATTTCCATCAACAGAAAGCAGTAGAACAAAAATGCAAAAGGAATTATTGGCCTGATTTTCTAAATGTTTGCATCTGTCCAGCTCATTAATATGCGGCATAGGCGCACCAGTTAAAGCTCTCTTAACACAGCTTTGATGACGGCTCATTTCGACACACCATTGAAAATTTAAATGTTTTATTGCCATTTCTGTCATAGCATAATGTTGCTTAAATTAATAACAGTTTTATGCTCTTATTGGACTAACTCATTTAATCACATGCATCACTTCAATTTTTTTTGTTTTTTAGGGTAATGATGTTATAAAATATCCCAACAGGAATTTGAAGCTTCATTCGAAAACCTCAATAGAAGCCTTGAATGTAAAAAAAAAAAAAAAAAAACGACATTAGGTACAGCCCATACAGTATATTCTAAGCATGTATATGTGGAAAGTTTCAGTGTATCCATGTTGTTGCAGCTGTCTGTAATCACCTCTGCCAAACCAGAAGTAATGTAACACTAGTCGACCTCTTAGTCAGCTCTGTCAATTAGGAGTTACTGTAACGTAACACTGCTATTAAACCTGTAGTCAGCTCCGCCACTCAGATGTAATTTATGAATGCAAGAGTCAGATCCGCCTCAACTGGCTCAGCTCCAAGAAGACTGGCCAGATAGTATAATTAGACAAAAACAAAGCAACTTGGATCAAATCTATCTTCTGAATTTGAATTTAATAATTGACAACAGTGATTGTGATTATGGTGTTCACAGGGATTCGATTTGTATTCATGGGTGTTAGGTTTGATCCCTTTTCCATCCAGACCATAAAGGCTTCATTCACACTGTTGCTTAAACCTGAACTGCTGCTCATATCAGATTTTTGTTAGTGTATTTTAGGATGTGGGACACAACCTAGAATGGGATGTGACTCATATCTGAGAATAGACACCAGAATGAATTCACAGCAATGTTAAAAAAGACAGCACAGAGCAGCAGGCTGCAGAGTAAGAATAGCAAATTATAGAATGCATTACAGGATTAGCAGGATCTGTAGTTTGTGGTGGAGTTTTTAATCATAAATGTTTTCTCCGCCTTAGGCTACCTGGGCTACACCAGCGGTTTTTCCCTTTCCTGCATGGTCTTCTTCTTGGGTGTGGTAAGTTCAGTTTTCTAATAGGGGTGGAATCACCAGAGGGCCCACGATACGATATTATCATAATACTTTTGTCACGATCCGATATTATTTAAACATATTGCGATGTATTGGAATTTATTACTTTTTTCCAACTTAAATTGTGTCACCAAACTCTATTTAACAAATCTGTGGTAGAAAATTCGAAACAATTATGATGAAATCTCAAAATGACAGAATTTATAAACTACCATAATACCACCTCTTGTGGCAAGCAGAGGGTTTGGTAGTGAATTTTCTTCTTTTATTTTCTCCATATGGACACCACTTAACCTGACTTCATATTTTTCTTTTACAGGTGATCTACAAGAAGACCCAGCTGCCCTGCCCTCTTCCTTTCTTTTACGGTCACTCTTCCAACCTCAGCATGAATGCTTCAGACTTGCCGGGGCTGTACCCGCCACAAAACAGCTCAGCGCACATGGACTTCTCCCGGGCCGACGTTTCCCCGGCAGTCCTCGGCAGCCATGATGCTCACCATTCCAGCGGTGTCCACTTCGCGCCTCACCCTGACGATGAGGAGATGTGCACGCCCAAATACTTCATCTTCAACTCCCAGGTTGGTGGTAGCCTAAAGGTTAGCTTATATTGCTGGTACAAATTTCAGTATATTACAAACTTCTTCTGACACCATACATTTGTCCAGATTGCAAAGTTCAGTGTTAAGTGTAAACATAAGCTTATTTTAAGTCTAATTGGTGAAGGTTGGCAGACCTAGTGGGTTTTATGAAGTGTGTGTCATTTCCTTACAGGCACAATGTGTCCTCCATTGGTTTAGTTTACCATTTGAATCAGTGGCTGCACGGCTTTTAAGAAAGCCAGGATAGAGTATCAAAATTCGCAAAACGCAAAGAACATAGACACAATATCCATAGTGTACATTTGTACAAGACCAAATCAGACTGTTGGGCTTACACACAGGAATGCATCTTACAACTTACAAATCCTACAAGTATTCGCTAAGACATGTTTGGTCAAGGTGGGGTTTTAGGGTGTGTTTTTGCCTTTGTGTGTGTGTTGAGGTATGTGTCTGGGCCTATATGATCATAAATCAGGATAAGTATATGACGCATGGTATTATGTTCACATGTCACGTTAGAATTTTTTTTGTCAAAACAAGCATTAGAAACTAGACGCCCACTTTCACACCACTGTGATGGTCTTTTTATGTGCCCTGGGATAACAAATTGACATTACATCTCAGAAAAGCATGCCAATCAAAGACAGCTGTGCTGGACTCAGACTAAAAGCTAGGTGTATCAAGGCCCTTAAATGCAAAAAGGAACATTTCCTCTGTCCATTTTTGCCCTTACACACACTAAAGGAAGAGGACATTTCTGTTCAACAGCAACAGTATTCAGAAGTCATAAATCTGATTGACATCACATGATCACATGGCTTACTAAAGATTTATATACATTGTTAGCGCCGTGGTTGTCTTGTGCTGCCTAAAGCTGAATTATTATGTCTTACATTTTACTGTACATCATTTCCCTAGACGGCGTACACTGTGCCCATCCTGGCCTTTGCTTTTGTCTGCCATCCTGAAGTCCTGCCTATCTACAGTGAGCTGAAAGAGTAAGTGGGTTTTCTGCCTTTACATCAAGCAGTGAAGCACCATCATCACCTCCTTAAACAAACTTTTAACAGTCACTTCACCCGAATGAAACCTGTTTTCTCACTATGGAGCCATGCAGATAGTCTTTTATGTGCCAAGGTTTAGAGATATCTGTCCTTCCATCCAAATACATGGAGGTGAACAGAATATTTTTGTATCACTCAAAGTTCTAGGTGTGGCACGATGAATGCACATTTTACAGCAGAAGTATTTTCTAAAATCACCACCATGGCATTTTAGGGATGGACAGCATCCATCTATATAGGGCAAATGGTAAAGAACAAATCTTAGCGGTATAAATACTGTTTGTTTTCCAATATGTGAATGGTCGGTTGTAGTTTCAACGATAATGAAAAGAGGGCTCTTAAGAAATTTGATAAAGGGTAAATATGTATGTATCAGTATGTCAAGTTGAGAAGGATCTCAATCTGCATATATTTAAGATTTTTCCTGCTAGTCTTGAGCGTGACTCAAAAAGTGATGGGAAGAATGAAGGTGTACGCGTGTGTTGTTTCTACAGTCGCAGCCGGAAAAAGATGCAGAACGTCTCCAACCTGTCCATCTTTACTATGCTCATAATGTATATGCTGTCGGCACTGTTCGGCTACCTCACCTTTTATGGTAAGAGCAACGATACACAAAAGCTGTGGTAGACAACTCAAAAAAAGAACCTAAAAATTGTGTTTTTCTGTGCAAAGAGACAAACAGATGGATAGTTAACTAGAATCAGTTCCTTATTCTTTTTAGTTATAAGGGAACAGTTAAAAAAAACACCATCAACACTGTTAAATCGACTTGCAGATCACCCTTATAAATACAGATAATTTGCCATTTGACCTTTTCCAGTCAAAAGTTTGCTTATTCAATAGTTTCTGTCACCTTTTATTCGCAAATTGTTCACCTATTTTTCCTTTTTTTCTCCTCCAACATAGACAATGTGGAAGCAGAGTTGCTCCACACCTTCACCAAGGTCTATAAGTTTGACACCATGTTGCTGCTGGTGCGTTTGGCTGTTCTCACTGCCGTCACGCTGACTGTCCCCATCGTGCTGTTCCCTGTGAGTACAAAAAAACACTCTAAAAGTCCTAATACTGTTTTTCTTTGAGGACAAGCATGTGGCACAAATAGTATAGTGTTCAGTTCAGAAAGCAGAAAAGGTTTTGTGATTGTAAAATACTGTGGTGAGGGATTCTTTCTAGGGCCTTTACATCAATGCTTATTTGAACATTGACATACTTTTCCTGTCATCTCTTTATTTATTTAGTCAAATCATTAAATTGAGCCTTATTTAAGCACTGATGATGATTGACTGACTGACTCAGTGCCCAAAGTGTTCACACAAACACATTCACTTACACCTTGTCATTTAACATAACTGGGTGCTGCATTCCATCATTCAGTAAAACATCGCTGCCACTTTTTTCATTCTGCTTACAGACTGTGTTTGTGTTTGATGCAGAGTCAATCTTTTTTGTGGTTTTCTGGACGCAGCTTTTCCTGGGAGTGTGGTTAAAAAAAAAGAACACACTGTTCGGTTTAGCTTGTGACGTCATCTCAACGCACACAGGCTGAGGTCATGAATGGCCACACCTCTTAATTACACCAATACACACACACACACAATTTTAAGTCCCAAGAGGAAAACCTCTCCTACTTTCTGCGTCTGTTTCCCTATTTTTTTCTCAAAATGGGGTCAAAGGTCAGCCCGTCTGTGATGTCCAGTTACCAAAACATCATTACATTCATTCACACATACGTATACACACTCTTGTTCCTTCCAGCACCATATATGTTCATGGGCTAATTTTAACTTGGCCCTACTCTGACATGAGGAGAACAAAAATGGCTGCTGGCCAGGGGAAGTTTCATGCCCCGTTTTAGCTTTCATGCACACACACACACACACACACACACACACACACACATTCACACAAACTTGGTTTTATGTGAAGACAAGCAGCTGCTAAGTTGTGAATAATTTCTGAGGCAGCTCCAGGGACACTAATAGCCACCAGAGGGCAGCAAAGTGTGGCTAACACACAATCGTGGTTTTATGTAAAGACAAGCAGCTGCTAATTTGTGAATATTCCTGAAGCGGATGCAGATACAAGTAGCAGCCACCAGGGGGCAGCAAACATGTTGCTGTTTAGTCAGGAGTGCTGACAGAAAATGATGCAATGAGTGAGTGCCATGGAAACACACATCTTGACAGAGCACACACACACATACACACTTATACATAGTGATAGAATAAAAGCACTGATCTGCGGATCTGAAGATCTGCAATCTTATTTCGCACAAGTACACACACATTGAGCCATCATCACATTTTGTTTAGCCATTTAGCTGATGCTTGTGTTCTCACACTGGATGTTCTCCGCCATAGCCCTCTGACGAACACACACACATACACACATTCCCTCCTCAGCAGACACTGCTGTTTTTTTCTGTGCAAGGGAATGTGAGAGAGGGGGATCCTCTCTGCAGTGGAAGTTTACCAGCTCAGAAGGGGCAGTGGAAAAACCCTCACCCTGACCGCTACCATCAGGGGTGGAGTCAGTGTGTGTGTGTGTGGGTGGGCGGATATTACTAGTGTTGTGGGGACATAAATATGTTCACACAGTCACGTTGTGGGTACAAACCGCAAAGGCTGCACAATAATTATAAATCTGCATCTGGATCTGCATTAAATTAGTGAGAAACAATCTAATGATTGTCTGTTGGAAGAATACCTTAATCCCAGCTGGTAATTTTAGGACTTTGTGTAAGGGTTGTGCAAATTGTGAAATTAATTTTCCTCTGTGTTGTTTAATGGCATAAAATTCTCAACAAAAAACAAACGTACACCAAATGTCAAAACATTAAAAACTGCTGCATATAAACCTAAAGGCAAGAACTATATATTTAGTCAAAATTGAGATCCTGGATCTGACTTTCTTTGGCCTTATAAAGAAATATTACATAAAATAGTATAATAATAAGTGAAATCAGTATGTTAAATATCCAAAATAGAGCTAAATACCAAGTGAGGAAACTGTGCTCTGTTTGGGTCAGCTAGACCGCTGCTCTGTAAAGCGACTTTGAGTTCGAGAAAAGTGCTATACAAATTCAATTTATTATTATTATTATTAAGAGTGCTATACAGGGTAAAGCTAGCTAGTAAGTTAGTCATGGCAAGTCTCTAAAGTTAAAACTAATTTTACTTGCTTTTTACTTAGCGGTTAACTTGCATAGCAAAGTAGCAGTGCCATCTTTTGACTCTAGTGGGATTTCATGTATTTGGGGATTTAATCACGTATTTGAATCTTTTAAATTGCTAATTAATTGACTATATTGATTTTTGTAAATGAACCGGATAAGTGAACCATTTTTCCCCAACTTCACTGTACTGTAGTTACTGTTCTATGCCGTTGTAGGGCGGAATATGAATAGCTGTGTCTTCTTGGTCTAAGGAAAGCAATGGATAAACTGGTTAACTGCAAACATATAATTATACTGTATGCATGTGTTTGTTTTCTTCCCTTTTTTTCTGATCTGGCACAAACTTGTTATTCATATAAGAGAATGTGGAAGCTTCATACTCAACCATTTTATTTGACTCCAACTGACTTTAAATGGTGCTCACAATGAATAAATTTTAAATTTATTTGAAATAGGGAAGAGTAACCCTGAAAAAGTACTGAGAGAGTAAGGGAGAGGAGGACTGAGATAACAGAGGAGATAAAAATTTGATAAGGACAGAGAAACACAATACTGCAATTGGATGCTGTAAAGCCAGGCTTAGGGGCTCAAATCCCACTGCAGTCACATGCAAGAGAAACCTGTGTGGTCATGGTCCTTAAATAAGCTTTGTGACTTTTAAATATCTCATTTGGGAGTACCTGCTTGGAGACCTATGAAAAGACATAGTCAAAGCCTCTTTTACATTAGTCAGTTTGGGTAATAAGCACTAAATGTTGAGAGACAGTAATGTGAATGAAATGGCTGACATAGCCAATGCTGTCGATTTATGCATGCATTTCTGATTAGAAATATGTGTTTGTGCAGAGTTTGGAATTTTTAATCAACTGACCATCACTATTCTTGTTGTAAATGAAACTGTGTTGCTGTGACTTGGTTGAAAGATTGATGAACTTGGATGCAAGTAAGGCATTGGATCAAAAGAACTACTTAGTCGCACCATCGCTATGCCAAGTTTTCAGTTGACATTTGAGAATCTCGCCTTGAATCCTCCTGCCCTTCGTTTTTTTTTCAGGGAAATGCTGCTGACCTTCAGCTAGAGATTAACATTGTCTGCAACTGTCCTTGGCTCCAGTGGGGAAGTACTATATGAGAGAGGAGGGAATGTATGTGTGGGAGTGTGTGTTTGGAGACAGTGTTGAGGCGTGCAAGTGTGTGTGTGTGTGTGTGTGTGTGTGTGTGTGTGTGTGTGCTGTCACGTTAAGGATAGACGATAACAGAAGACAGATCACCAAAGGCTTTGCAAGGATCCACTACATAATGAAAGGGCTTTATGTGGAGTCAAACATGCCCCAGTTCTCAGACTCCAGCTGGAGATTGGAACCAAGGGAGAGGGCTGCAAATGAGTTGATTTACAGCGCCAACGTCACATTTATGTCTTCCATCATTTTGTTAAATTTCAGTCTTAATTCAGACCCTTCTTTCTTGTAGCGCTAGCTTGAGTACCAGTTGGTTTCTTCTTACTTAACAAGGGATTTACTTAATTGTTTAAATCAAACTATTACAACGGCAAATTCACCTGTTTTTTCTTTGCTAATTAATAAATTACTAAATGACTTGACGAGTGATGAACATTTGCAACTGACTAATCCTGCTAAATTTTCTGGTTGGCAAAAGAAGACTTATATTTTAAAAAGTGGGACTATCTGTAGTTTATAGTTCTAGTCTCTGGTTTTCTTTGGTTTTGACGACTAGGTAACAATTGCTTGCGCGCTATTTGTGACATGTAGGCCTTGGTTAGCTTAAACTAATGTAGTTAGCTTAAACTTGTGACTGGCATTTGGACAATGACAAGTTTTACCAATGTGCTTTCTTGTCCAAAAACTGCTGCTGTGATTTTTGCCTTCTAAGGTCTCACAAAACCGTAAAACTCAGCAACCTTAATGGAGGCTTTGTAAGTTGTAACTCAGCTTTTTTAATGGTTAATAAAACATTTTCTTTTAAATTTACTAGTGCTTTGCCAATTATAGCACTTAGCCGCTCACGAAGGGACTAGGAGAACAAAATTTGTTTACTAGCTCACTGCCATTGATAAGAACATTTTTGGGGGGTGGTCAGGTTGTTACAAATTTTAATACAGTCATTAATAAAGGGTCGAGAGTTTCTCACTTTCTAACAAGTCTGCAGTTATAAATGTAAGAGAGTCATTAAAAAATCCATCAAATTGTTTATATATTGGTTTTGGTTCAGATGCACTGAAGAGATAAAGGTGACAATACAAGTATCATGCTGGAGGAAGAAGAAAACCATGTGTTGCTTATTGGGTTTGTTTTGGTTGCAGTTTGTGAAATATATCTCTCTTTTGCCTTGTTTGGCTGTGTAGTTTTAAGTTATTTGTCAGTGCCTATGTAGTCACAAACACGCTGATAGGGCTTTCGTGTTGATATTTTTACTGAAAAGGGGACTTTTACCCTGGTGCATGTAGTTTCACTTCACACTCGGCATCTGTGCAAATTCAAATATGTGGCTGTGAAAAGAAACAACAATGTTGTCTCTTGCTTTGAATATACTTTCTCTTTCATATGTGAGCAAATCTTGAATTTAAGAGCCCTGATGGCAACCTTCTTTGCAGTAAATGGGCTCAAGCGCACATGATTTGTTTTTATCTACTTCTAATTTTGACAGATTTAGCAGATATAGCTTGCACAGCTAAGAACTTAGTCCCTGGCTTGTTGCTAACTGGCTGAACCCAGATATGGCTGGGCCAATCTGGCTGCCTACAACTAGCTCATCCACAGACTATGTGTCTGTGTATATGTGTGTGCAAGCCTCTGACAGGTAAAGATAAAGGAGTTAAAAAGTGTTCAAATATCACACAATGAATTTCAAAGGCTTAGCGCCAGGTAACAGCTGGGTGCTGAATAGTTTGGAGCCTTTGAGAGAAATGCTGCGTCCAGGCTCTAGTTTTCCAAGCCGGCCTAATTTTGTAACAGCTGGTGGGAGGGGGATGTAGGGGTGCGGGCACGCTTGTAGAATTTTAGGAGGGATTCACTTTTCAATTATTGTCATTATCTCCCACAAGCAATGAGTTGTGGTTTAGGTGATGACGCTTTTTTGGCAGTAGACAGTGAAATCAGGCATCATCCTGGTGCCTCCTGATAGTCATGATGGAGGTCGCTTGGTTCGACCTGACAGTGCAGAAAATCCAGTTAATGTGATTTTTTTCCCCACTGAGCCATGCTAACTGGATATAAATCCTATGCTTAAGTCAGACTTAAAGGAAACAAAGAAGGCCTGTGGTGTTCTGCCAGTAGTGGCTCTTAAAAAAGGAAAAGATTGCACATGCTTTTTCATGTCATGTTGTCAAGCAACTTTCTCTGAAACTCTTGCATCTCATATTTACATATGTCGTTAGTTTGAAGTGTGTAGTACTAGTGAGTAAAAGAGGGAAGAAGACAGCCTGGCAGAAATAAAGTGACACTAGTGGCTCCGTGTAAAGACACCTCCCCCCCTGCAGGCAAACCCGCACTCTCACTACCGGCTGATGCAATCCCATGGTTCCATTGCACTGTTGGAGATAATCCCTTTTTCAATGGCACCATAGGCACCGCCCCTCATAACCTTTCCCCGTGTGGCCTGTGAGCTGACGGTGCCTCAGGTTTTACCTGATACCCACAACCTTTCACCCACTGGAGGCTTGAACAGGCTGCCTGTGGCTCAGCAGCCTGTTCCAGACGTCTTAGCTGGGATCTCCTGGTTTTTGCTGTTTCCCTCTCTCTCGCTCACACTAGCCTCGTAGCACTTGACACACTTCAGTCAAGTATGGGAATCAGCTTCAGGCACAAGACATTTACACAGATGTTAGCTGAAAACCATTATACTTTAAAAGTAATAACAGTAACAAGTATTTCATTGTACTCCAGTGTGAAGTACATTGAATTTAGTGGTGGAATATAATATATTATTTTTATTTTATCAAATCAAACTAATAAGTTTGTTCTTTTTGAACCCTCGTGTTCAGTGAGTTCACAATGAACTTTTGTACGACTTTGTCATGATATCAGTGAACAGATTTGAATGAATCCATACCATCACGCCAATGACTTAAATGTCAATGTTTTATATTTTTACCCAGATCCGCTCCTCCATCACCACACTACTGTTTAGCGGCCGAGAGTTCAGCTGGACACGCCACTTGCTGATTGCCGCTGCCATCCTGGCCTTTAACAACATGTTGGTCATCTTCGTCCCCACCATCAGAGACATCTTTGGCTTCATCGGTGAGATCTGCCTCTGAATACTTTCATGCTCTATATGTTACAATGTGTTGAGGAAGATTTTGTGTATAGAAATTAAAAATCGTAAAAGAACCCACAACATGCGCAAATATGAGTTAATAAGGCTCATTTTATTAAGTAAAGTTGTTGGAAGTACACAAGCTTAAAGTGTCGGGTCGAGTCAGCTGTGCAGTCGCGTGAGCCGTTTGTGACCACTGGATCTAAGCACTCACGTTCTCGCTGCCAACACACACCAACACTGGGAGGTGCAAACATTTATAAACATTTGTCTCCCTGATATTAAGCTGCAGCCTTTCTACACAAACAACATCTCAAAGCTAATAATAACACATTCTCTTGAAAAATCAAAAAGGGAAGTGGTTAACAGCTTTTACTTCCTCCCTACATCAGGTACTTTACTTTACTTACTTAGTAAGAGTAAGAAATTAGTCTGAGAAAGAGTAACAAATTTTTTGGTGCTACATTTAGGCTTAGGAGTAAAGGCATTTAGCAAATGACTTTTATCCAGGCCAATATTTGGGAGATCTCCTATGGAGTCCTAAACTGGAGTTGCCAAGATATCCTGCTCACAAACACATACTCAAACACTATGGGAGAGAAGTTCATTGGTAAAAATGAGGCTGAGGGAAACTGATTTAGCAAAAAAGGTAATTTTAGCAAGTTGCAATTTTTCATATTTGTATTTTAATATTTGAAATTGCAACAGTCTGAAAACTTCAAATCCTACTTTTAGTTTGAACTTTTACTGCAATCCCTGGGAGTGATTCTGAGACATTTAGATTTAGATAAACTCGAGCCGAAGTCAGATTAGTTGAATCACTCTTCCTCTTGGTTTGTATCGCAGGTTCCTCTGCAGCCACTATGCTCATCTTTATCCTACCTGCTGCCTTCTATCTCCGCCTGGTAAAATCAGTGCCGTTTCGCTCCCCACAGAAAATCGGGGTAAGTGTGCAGAAACACACACTCTGTCAACATCATTCTCACTGTATCATTTTTCTCACTCCATCCCCTGAGGGGCGGATAACGTTTTCATAAATTTCCACAGACTCCTGCTGTGCATTATCACACATTTAGCTACATTTAATCCCCCTCTCTCTCTTCAGGCGACCGTCTTCTTAGTCGTGGGAATCATCTTCATGATTGGCAGCTTGTCACTCATCGTTCTCGATTGGGTCCACAACCCCACAGGCTCCAGCGGTGGTCACTAAGCCCCCTCTTCCTTCCTCAGACTGGCACAATGCAACAAACTTCCACCCCTACCATGTCTCATCTGGTTGGCCTCGGCTGGCCGAACATTTGGGAACACATCAGCGATTCTCTTCCCTTCAGCAAATCACAAACGTTGATCATAGAACCTCAACGCAAAACAACTTCCACTGTTTTCCCCAGAGAATATCAGTGTAGGGAGACTTTTTTGCTGTTTCTGTTTCAGTTTTTTGAGAATTAGAACCCGGAGAGGGGGGAACAGACTTTGGTTTAACAAGCCACCAAGACAGCCTGAAATCTTCATCATTATTATTTCCAGCTATGAAGAGACAGCACAGACACACACAATGCAGCCCTCACATGAAGCAGATCTGTGAACTGATATTTGCTGGGCTGGAAAGATGTTGCGAGTCCTTCAGTCCCCTGTGCACTTGAAGGAGACATTTGGAGGTGGAGTGCATCGTCCTCCATGAAACAAGGAGCACTTCTAGCATTACGTTTCACTTTGTGTGTAGAGCGAACACACACACATATACACACACATATACACACATATATAGACATAGTAAAACACATCTAAACCTGTATTTCGTTTATCGATGAAAAATTCCTCAGTCGGCTCATCTCAGTTAATCAATACTGTAATTCAATAATGAAGTAGTAATAGTGTGCTCTGCTACATTAACAATCAGAAGCTTTGCGAAAGTGTACGTGCACAGACAGTTCATGCTAGAGCCTCCCAGCTCTAAACAATCAAGGATTTTTCATCCTGTCTGTGTACACAAACCAAGGCGATGCTTTCGGTATTACTGTCGCAGAGGGATCTGAACATGCAAGGCATCGATGTACATAATTAAAGTGTGTCTACTGAAAAAAAACATAATGTACATATTATCTTCAGGTTGTATGAAGTTCAAATCATTTCCAACACACAATAGAAACACATGCTGGAATAATTTATTAGGCATTTGATGTAGGGCTTGACAGCTAGGGATATAAAACCATAGGTTGTTATTTTTATACATAATACAAAAAAACATTTTTTTAAATGCAGTTGAGTAAAATACAATTGGACAATTCAAAAATGAATTCAATTAAACCAGTGGAGTGAAACGTGAATTAGATTATGTAAAATATGTATGTAAATTAAAAAAATAAAATATTTTCAACTCTCGCCAAACAATCTAAATCACTGAAAACCCAAAATCTCTCCAAAATGCCATTCAAATGTAATGTAGGAACGTGATTATGTTCTTTTCAACTTAAAGGATTAGATTTTGGGAAATGAGCTTATTCGTTTTCTTGTCTGGCGTGAGGTAGGATAGATTGATACTACTGTCATGTCTGCACGTCAAATATGAAGCTAATGCTACAGCAGCCGATTAGCTTGGCGTAACTAGCCTGGAAGTTTTGGACAAGAGCTAGCTAACTTCCTGAAAACCACAACTTTTAACTTTTCAGTTTTTATAAATTAAAATAGTGAGATATAATGTTTCAGTTACTAAGCTTTAGAGGTGCTGGTTGATGGCTAGCTGTGTTCCCCTTCTTCCAGTCTTTAGGCTAGGATCCAGGCACTAGCTTCATGTTTGGCATACAGACAGGAGTGGTATCAGTGTTCTCATCTAAATCTACACAACAAATTGAATAAGCTTTTTCCTGCAAAGTGTAAAGGCATTATTTTGAAGAAGCTAGATGGTGAACAATATCACACACATCGACGCTTGTTAGAGAAGAACAGTGGAGCTAGCTTAACTTTTGAAAACTACCTTAACATGCAGAGGATGTGACCCATTTTTAAAGTGCAAGACTATAAACCAAGCTCAAAAACTGTTATTATCTAATTCATCCCAAATTTTTTAAAGATTCTGTATTTAAACGGTTGACGGGGATCTTTATGGGAAAAACATGTTGATTAGATAACATTTTTTAGTTTTGCTGTTCCAAAAAATTCAGGTAGCTAAACACATGGGTCACTTCTTATGTTTTGTTGACAAGATCAGTTATCAATTATTAATCTTAGTGAACTAATAATTATTTCAGTGTTCACTCTGAAGTACAAAAATCTGATTAATAACTGTTACTGGCCTATTCATTTAAATTGTACCTTTTGGATTGCTCTCATTATAATTGGCTTCTAATACCGGTGCCTTTGGTAGAATCATTGATGACAACACCAAAACCTCACCTCTTCTCCAATGCTGTTACGTGTCATGAACACATCTAGCCAAAGTGGACAACATTTATAGATCCTTTGCGGATCTATGTACATGAAACAAATAGATATTTCAAATGAAATAGTATATTATGTGCATGTTTTTGGATTATAAACATGGTCTTTTTGGACAATTGTATATGCTCTGTAAATAATCTTTATTTTATGGTACACTGACCCTCATTGTCTGTAAGTGGGTTGTTAGGGGATTCTGCCTTTCAAGTCTTCTGCAATCCAGTCTTTGTTTTAGTATACATATAATGTGTATTTGATCTTTTTTCCTCTTGTTGTATGACAATAGGTTTTTGTTCTTTTATTTGAAACTTATATTTGTAGAAAATGTGATCTCTATATATCTATTTTCATGTTGCAATGTTAACTGGTTATATCAGGATGAATTAACCAACGGCCTACTTCATAACACAGTTTTGTCATTAGTCTCAGAACCAAGGCATTTTACTGTAGCTTATTGGCCCCTGCTGACCAACACTGGGATGAAATGAAAGCTACATGTAAGCAGTATTGATGTTGAATGTGTTTTTTGAAATGATGCTGTAACGCAGGACAGAACATGATAATAATTTGTTTGGCTTTTCTGCTATTTATCACATATCACATGCTTACGTGGAACCACACACCTATGTTAACGTGGAGCTGGATACCGTGTTTGCCACTTCTGAAGCTCTACAAGGACTTTCATATTCTGTTCTAGTTCATACCTTACTGTGGCTTATAATGTATATCCCTGCTGTCATAGAAAAACCTTTTCAAACCCAAATTTGGTAACATGTTCTTTCCATGACATTACTTGAACTGAAGCTTTCCACGGCCTGATAAAGTAAGCAAGCTTCAAGACCGAAGGGTCCACACAGCCCCAGTGCTCACTATGAATGTTCAATAATACATTGTTCTCAATTTGAAAATCTGGCTCACTCTCTCTAAACTTCTTGATGAATGTTTGCATGTAACTTCATTAGCCTCCTACCATCTTATTCTGCTCACTGGTATTCCATGCAACTGTTGCGTCTCTCCCTCAGGTTGGGTTTGGGATGGGATCTCCATCTCATTTTACAACTCTGTTGTAATACGTAATATATTACAACAAGGTTGTACCTTGTCTTTTTAAATTGCTCAAAGAAGTAGAGATGGCAGCTTTTTGACAGAATGCTCCCAACACTCTCTACCCCCTTTAGTATCTCAGGTATTCAGTCTGGATGAATTTTTCTTCCCACTTTTGGATAACTTCAAATCCCTTCACCTATTGCATGATTGAGCCAAACTTTACAATGCTGTTATATTGTGCTGGCCTAGATGAGAAGTCGTCTTGTGGATTTGTAAGAGCAGACAAGTTCCCAGCTAATTTTAACAGTGTTTAGAAAGGAGTTGTGCAGAACCACCTGCCTTATTTTTTTATGGATCCTCAGCTGTGGAGAAGCACTTGTTCAATGTTTCTGCTGTTTACAGTGTCTCCGCATCCTGTGGATCAGGCTGAACATTCAGATTTGTAATTTTACCCAAACAAAGGGGATGTTTTTGTATCAGTGATGCTGTTTCATTATGATGAACAATAAAAATGTGAAATAAAAACGTTTTCATTTTGTATATTTTTTCCAGGCTAGCTAATAAAATGTAGAAGTGAAGTCACTATTATTATAACTAGTGGGGTACTATTATGTAAGTCCCATTTTCAATATGTGTGTGAGTTTCTATTTAAACACAGGAAAAAAATCCCCTTTGTTCACATCAAGGCTTACATAACGTGTCTCTGTCCAAACTGATGTCCCAGGATGTTACAACCAAAGCCATTTCTAGCATAATGAGCAGGTGATATTAGGCCTCTAGAATAAAATAGATTCTGTTACTGTCTAGCATCTACTCCTGACATGTAACACCAGTGTGTAGACTATCAAAACGAGGGGTGGGGGTTAGGTAACCTTTCCCTGTATTTGCTGATACATTAGCTCAGCTCCAAAATCAAGCTGGACAAAACATGACAGACCTAGAGAGCCTTGAAAAGGGTTATGAAGCAATTTAAAAAGGGGTGAGGTGTTAAAGAGAATTAATATTCTGCAAACATTCAGCAAACAATCTAATTACTTTTTAATTCTGAATTACTCATTAATTATTCATTTTTGTATTGATTTCAGGCAATAACTTACTTAACAATAAATTTTGAGCCATTTGTTACCAAAATGTTATCACTGGATCTTTTTATTGTCACAATAACTCTTCTTTCTGAGGATTTTGCTTATTTTCAGTGGTGTAAAGTAACAGAAGTCATTCAGTCTACATGATTGAAGTTACTAGTTTTGATCAGAATGAGATTCACTCAAAACATATGATTGTATAATGTACTGTGCTGTTCAGAATATCAAATTTACTATCGTTTTCTATATATTTATTTATTTGTGTGAATAAGTGTGAGGGAAGTATTAATGCAAAGTGCTATGATCACCGAGGTCATTAACTTTTACATTCAAGGCTTTTTGAGGAAAAAGTTGAATCTGTGCCGTAAGACTTTTCCATCTTTTGTTTAATAGAATGAAAGTGTACACGCAACATACAATCATTTTCAGCCAACATGCCACGTTAGTTTGAACTGATATTGTGAAACTGTTTAGTTATCCTTTGACACAATTTTCACAGCTCGTGTTTCAGCTGTTCATTAAGAGGGATGAGAAAACCAGGATTAGATAAACATGTTTGTATGGCTGAGGCTGCAGGTGTGAGTGTGTTATTGATGTGTGTGGGAGAAGGACACCGAGTGAGAATGTATACTGCATCACCAGATCCGGATGCAGGTCACATTAGACCACACTGTTTTGCTGTAAATCTGGTTACACAAAACTCATGAGCTTTGTTTTCTGGATGGCAACCTGCTGTTTCCCCTCTTCACCTCGCTGTGCTGTCAGCGCTCTCCTCCATGCTCAGGACATCTTTAACACATTCGACCTCCTGCCCCTCTGTCTCTCCCCTGTCTCGATGCATGAACGTTTGATTTAGTGCATCTCCATCACTCTATCCTTTGTGAGGATGAGGAGGTGTCAGTGAAGCCGCGACGTTCAATTACGTCCTTTCATTTCCCAGGAGCCCACTGTGTATTTGATTCATCCTGTTTGCAGTAGCAGATGGGAGGGTTTTGATGCATGATTCATTGATTTGAAAACTACATTCCTCAGCCACATAGACATGCTAACACAGGATGGTTCAACCCAAGTGTGACTCATTGTGAGTGCATTTGGAATGTATCAAAAGAACAATGCCAGTTTAACACAGGGTAAATAGCCCTGTTGTTTGTGAGTTTGGATGAATAAAGACATGTTCTGTACAAATTCTTTACAAACCACTTTTACTCCTGCACTCTTCTTCTTCTTCTTCTTACTGTGTTTCAATATTTCATGTTTCCCCGGTTGTCTGCTATTTTCTTCTCTGCCGGATGCTCTACTCCCTCCTCTTCCCTCTGCCTCTGCAGCTGTGCAGCACACTCCCCTCTTTCCCCAACCCCCTTCTCCCTCTGCGTTCCCCCCCCCCGCTCTATCTTCTTTTTATGAGGATTAGCTGTACTGTTGTGTACAGTAGTGTAAATTCCAGGAATACAGTCACCGTTAATAACTACTATCTGTGTGGGAAAAAGCCTCAGCAGCACCAATGCTGAGGTTTTGAGAAAGCCAGCACTGGTGCTAGTCGTGGGTCACATAGCACTCACTTAAAAACTCTTGGATTAGCCTGATTTGTCTATTGGGTAGAGCTGATGACAAGAGAACTGTACAGTAAAACAGGTAGTTATCAATTTGGCAATTATGAGGGAAAAAAACTGAAACCCAATAATCAAAAGTTCTCATTATGATTGTATAATAAGCAGAATATTATTTTAATGATTATGATCTTAACTCTCCTGATGAACGCCACCATTTTACAACCTAGTAGGTTAAAGCGTACCATAATTATTTACAGTCCTGATGGGAGGGACAGCAGTTCAAGCTGGAAACCTGCATTTATTTGATTGCACAACCTGTAAACACAGCTCTGATATGATATGGCTAACATGTTAGCAAAAAGTTGCCTGTTTACACAGGGAAAACAGCTGCCTGCTAGAAACAATGCTTATAACAGCAGTGAGAGTGAACCAAAACAGTAAAGTCATGGGCCGTAAAACCAAAACAATGACCAAAAAGACACTGAAACGCAGTGTTCAGCTGAGGGGAACTGCAGAGTTGAGTGGTAATTCTCTGTGAGTTTGTTACTGTGAGTGACACCGTTCACATGTAGTCATTTCATCCGTAGTTAATATAAAATATCGAATATAGCACTTTTAAAGCCCCAGTGGTTTGACAGGCTGCTCCATCCTCAGTTGATCAATTTTCAGCCAGCAGCCCAAATCGAGGTCATGTGGCAGCAGACAAGCAAGGACACCACAGTACCCTTTTCTCTAGCCACACCCCCCGCTTCTCCCGGGGGATTCCAATCCAGGGGTCTGAGGCCAGCTAGTATACATTTTACACTTCCTAAACTGCCATTCTCCAGGTCGGACGTACCAGGAATTACGCCAGAATGAAGATGCGATGCCATTGTGAGGTCATCAAAGGGAACACTCTCCAAAAATTCTCCTTATGAAAATCACAACAGTATAGGTGATAAATGCCCATAACTGCCACCGCTGCTGAATGACATTGCTAAATAACATCGAGGAAATGATTTACAGTGTATGGGTGTGTGTTGTTGGACTGGTGTTGTGTGTTTAGGATGTGTCTGGTTCAACATTATATAAATTCAGGCTGCTGGTTGGAGAGCTGAGAGCAGCATTCTGTATCCATTAAGTAAAAGGGTCACACATGGCAGACGTCACACACTGAGACACAGCCAAAAACAACCACACACAAATTCATTGAACACAGACAGATAAAACATACACTGTTGTTACAGTAAATATGATTGTAATAGGGTGTGTCTGATGTTCTGATTTGTGACTTCCAAGATCCTATCAGCCGTCAGCACACACACCACTGTTGTGGTTTTGGTGTTTAGTTTTTTCCTGTTTTATTCCTGATAGTGTCCTTCCTCGTGTGTTATTCATCTCTCCCTGTCTCTGTTTTTTTATGTCCTCTGTCTGTGATTATGTTTTGCATGATCAGTTATGTATTTGTTCCGTATTTACAGATTTATTTTGAAATTCTCTGTCTCTGGTATTAATGTCTTGCTGTGTTCCACCTGTGTTCAATCACCCTGCCCTCTCTGAAGTTTCTCTATAAGTCTGCCTTTGTCCTTGTTGGTTCGTTAGTTTATGCTTTCGGTGTCTTCCCCATCTGGATTACGCTGTTATGTTACTGCATTCAGTTTTATGGCTGTACTACAGGGGTATAAAACCAAAGTAAACATTTTGCTGTGATTTAATTGTAATGTAAAGGATCAAAATGATGCCAAAATAACTACAACATGATTGCCAATTTGTTAAACAAATCAATTCATGCTTTGTCAGATCTGCAAGCAAGACAGCAGCACAACAACTTTTAAATTGTTTGTTTTCTGAATGGAGTTCGTATCGATCAGACCTGTGCTATGCTAACTTGTTAACAATAAAGTACAACAATTGTCGGAATCAGGTACACATATTTTCTGAACTTACCAGGTAGTTTAACTTCCTCACTTAATTTTCTCTATGCAATGGCCAGTTTTGTCCAGTTTTTATATAAAGACGAAGTAGTAGTCCCACAGAGATTTGGGTGCCCACTGACTAGAAACGTCAAAATCAATTTAATTTAAAAAAATTAACTTTTAGCTTGGGTGTTGGAAGCCCTGTGGGTTTCTGAACTCTTGTTTAATTTGGACCATATGAATAGAACTATGCTTGCCGTTCAGAACTCCAAAATCTCCAGCCTTCCATACGGAGTTTAGCATAGAACCTGCCATCCTGCTCTTTTAACCTGATCCCCAGCATGTTAGCAACCAGTCTGCAACCCTGTCTGCTAGCATCCAGACTGCTAGCCACCTGCCTGCTGACCAACAGCCTAATTCCCGGCCTGCTAATATCCAGCCAGTTAGCATCTGTCAGGCTGAATTCTGAACTGCCAGGATTCTGGCTGTAGGCTTCAACCAGCCTACACCGCAGTCGAAAAAGTCAAAAAGTTAAAGGAAGAATGGAGATTGAGGGAGATAAGTGTTCTTTCCACTGCTGTAAGTATTGTCATTGTGTGTCACAGTCAAAGGTACAAAGAACATGGATTTCTCTGTTGTGTTTTTTGTTTTTATCTTTTTGGTTTTCTGTTTGTATCTTAATTGGATTGGTTATTTGTTTGGACGTTCTGCATCATTTTTTGCTGTAAATTTTTCAACCCCTGCAAAAACGTACTGTACACACACAGCAGCTGTCCTAAACCTAACCCTTCAGGTGACAGTCATACTCAGTCACCAAAGAAAAAAATAAATATTCACCTAGTCAAAAGCAGTTAAATAATTAACAGCTTTGCAGCCTGTATCCAGTACATTTCAAACAGAATACTGAGAGATAAACTCCAAGATAAGAGTTTTCAGTCAGGTTATGCAAGCATAATTCTGCAATATTTATGAGGATTTTCATTAATATTTTGTAGGTATGTTGCTAG